CCCCAAAACCCCAAAACCCCAAAACCCCAAAACCCCAAAACCCCAAAATATCTTCAAAAAATTGAAAGATTTTCCCACAGCCTTACTTATAAATTAGCTTAATTTTTAATCTCAAAAATCTCACCATGCGAAGAATTATCGATTCCGAAAGTAGCAGTCAAGAAACCCACCCAGTCCTACGAAGAAGTTGCCGAGCCAGGAAGGAAGTCAAGAGCTATAATGAAGACCAAGACTACAGTGGCTTGGAAGAAATCGAAGAAACACGTAGAAGATCACAGTGGAGAATGGTAAGAAACTTTAAAAATTTATGTGTAGGGTAGTGACACCAGTGATATCGAACTGGAGATTTGTACGTCAGAGGATGACCAGGTAAGTGAGTGAGTGGGAGAATATAGGATCAAAGCGAGACCATCAGGCAAGACCCAGAATTTGATTTTGACAGAATGACCAAGCGCCAGAGACAAGCCTTCCTTGTTAAGAACAACATGATGAAGGTCAGCGAGAAAGCTGTAGAAGCCCACGGTGGCCAACTCGGTGAAAGAGATGAGACAGTTGCAATTAATCATTCAGGAGGTCAGTGTATGTACTCTTTAGACACTATCCCTAAGAACAAATCTATCCGGGAGAAGGTCAAATCTAGAAAAGACAAAACTCTTGAGGAAGAAATTGCTGATAAACGTAAAGAACTTACAAATATGCTGAAAGACCTTGATCAAAAGACTAAAATCAGAGAGAAGAGACATAAAGAAAATATGATCAAGAAGGCTATAATGAAAGTTAAGAAAGAAGAAATAGCTCAGACTGAATGTGTAAAGTACATCTCTTCAATAAGAAGGAGAGATAAGAAGTTCATTGAAGCAAAGATACTTAAAGTTCCACCGAGTGCGAAGATGACTTATTTCCAGCTCTCTAGTACAGCTTCTCTCTCAAATTTGAGTGCTAGATCTAACCAAAAGTGAGATAACTGCGGAACAAATAGCAAGAAATATAAATGATCAAAATCTGCTAAGTTTGCTTGAAGTCTCCCTTGCTATCGGCAAAACTTAAGGCATTTTAATATTAATCCTTCAATTTAGAAAATATCTCAAGGGGTTTTGGGGTTTTGGGGTTTTGGGG